CCCAGCTTTTGACTCTTCCGTGTCCTTGAAATACCGCGCTGTGCTGGATGTGCCGCACGGCTCTTGAGGCACAATGGAAATTTTTTTAATTTTTTTTTTTTTTTCCTATCCTTGTTACACTTTGGTTTCGTGTAGCAAAGATCTCCGCTAAGTGCGTGTGTTTCCTCAACTAAAGTGGTTGCCCGGGCTTGAAGCGTTTTCATTAACAATTTTATGATGGAGTGAGTGGCGGTGAGACTGGGGAGGAGGAGGAAGACGTTGATTCACCGGGAAGTGGCGCGATGAGTTCCCTCTTCTTTAAGCCTGTTCCTACTTGCACGGCGCTGCATCTGTTGGCCGTGCAACACCCAGGTCTTGTAAGAAAGGGGGGGGCAGCGGGCAACGTCCGTGATGATGGGAGACGCAAGAGTAGGTGGAGATTTTTCTCTTCTGTTTCTATGGGATACGTCTAGGATTTTTCGAGCTCCATCTGTGCATAATTTTAGAGGAGGATTCAGGAATTCGTATAATACTAATAAAAATCGGGGTCTGGGTGGTGCTTCCTTTTATAAAGGGAATTTGTAGTCAGCAGCAGAAAGCTGTTTCTGCGGTGAGAGGTCATAGTACCTTCAGCATTGCTGTCTTTTTGATCTCAGAAGTGTAGGTTTGTTTTTGTTTTCTAAAAAGTTTTTATAAAAGTACAAAAGTTGAGTGCTAAAATGCATTCTGTCTGCATTAATGGGAATGCTCTTTAAAATTCTCTTTACTACTAAGAAAAATATACTTGTCACGTTAGCTCTCAAGAAAGCATTATTCTTGTGCACCTTTTATAAGAACTGAGATTCTGGGACCTGTCGAATTCTGTGCACGGAACCCCTGAAATTGCTGCCCGGAGCATCCTCGAGCAGCTGCCGTTTCCTTCCCCTTTCTGACGAAAGAGCACTTCCAATTCTTAGCTGTTCTTGGAGTGCGTCCTTTGCAGGTAGACTTCACATAGGTTTCCCTGCATTTAATATTTTTTCACGTTAGTGTCTGAGTAACTGCACTTTCCCGATGTTTGCAAAGTGATTACGAAAGGGATTTAAAGCAGTTAACAAGATGGCATCTGGAGTGCACAAATACTTAAAAGCTGTGGTTATCTCAGAGTTACTTTTTTTCCTGGCTTTTTTCTACTCCGAAATGTTGTATGGGAGAACACGAGGAACTCCCTTTCTAATGCTGTTGTCTTGAGGCAAACCAGAAAAGTAAATAGAAATAGAACAGGTTTATTGCTGTTATGGAAGTTTATCATAGTAACTAAACCCTACTTCAAGCAGGAATTGAGTGATATAGGCAGATCTGACAAATCATCAAAACTTTTCTGCTCTTTACGTGTAGCAATGCAGTAAATGAACTCTTTATTTATGTGTTCCTACAGAGATGCTTATGTTTTGAGTCAGTTGAAGTTAGCTAACAGTTAACCGTTGATTGGATACGTCCCAGATACTTGGGAAATACAAAGTGTTAATGTTTATGTCTGTGTGGTGTGGTACAAAAATACCTGAACTAGCTCTGGACAAGCTAGCACACTTTTAGGGGCAGAGTGCTGTTACTAAGCCGTGTAAAGATACTGGGTTATGTCTTAAAGATAGGACAGTCCTGGCTGCGCTTTACAGGGCTAATTGCTCTTTCTGGAAAAGGCTAATTAGTGCAGCCAGCTTCCAGTTTTGGAGCTGGTTCAGGTGTCTGCAATACTGCTGTGAGCAGTGCAGCGTTAGTGTAAGCGTACTTAAGTGCTACAGATAAAAGCAGTGTAGACTTGCAGGAGATATGTGTTATCACAGTTTAATACAGCACTCAAGTCGTAAATACAGTGTCCCAGTTTTTAAAACATTCAGGTGAAACTTTATTAATATCGTTGCCTAAAACCTACATCCTGTAGTCTAAGGCATGGGGGCGCTCGTGTTTGTAAAATCTGTATCACCTTTGAAGCTTTAGTGCAAGTGTTCGAGATTCTGCCATTAAGCCATCCATTTCAAAAGAACTTGCAGTTTTTAAAGGCTTTTGGCCTTAGTGTTTCTTTGGATGTTAACTGACACTTGACTTTTTTCTGAACTGGGAACTCCAGCAAATCTGTTGTATGCATTTCTAGCACCCTGGGCTTGTTCAGCTGATGGCAAATGGCCCTTTGGGTGCTGTGCCTCACCACTGTGGTTTTGTTGAAAAATAGTTGATTGTTTGTAGCTCATCATTTTTTAGTAACTTTTTTCAGACCATGTGTAATTAGTGTAATCACAGGCTAATTAAAATGGTGCAGTAGGAGCATCTTCAAAACAGTGCATGGAGAGGATCAAAATGTCCTGGTGAAGAGAGTTGCTACCTTTAGAAAAGTCTGTGTGCTGCTCAGAAGCTCCCTTCAAAGCCGGCTGAGGGTAGTGGTGGGGGAGGCAGTTCAGTTGTCACACTTGCATCCTCACAGTGAATGTGTTTCCTAAAGGGCTGTCTTGGATACAAGTGAAGTGTCTGGAGCCAAAGAGAGCATGTTCTATTCTTTGACATCTCTACTTCACAGCCAAGGGGGGGGATAAACCATCCATCTCCTTGTGCTGGAACAGAGCTACTGAAGCAAACCGCTGCAGGAACTCCAGTGGGCGAAGTAGCTTCTGACTTGATGCTTCGTGCTCTGCATAGGGATATCTGCAAGTAATGTGTCAGCAAATTCCTGCACTGAAAAGGTGTGATATAATAGCACTAGCGTGGTAGTATCCACAAAATAAATGTCTTGTAAACCATTTGAACCTTTTCTAAATTACTATTTTATCTGACTTTTCTTAATTATTACAAAATATAATTGGGAACTTTATTGTTAAGCAACATTAAAAAATTATAAAGGCTGTTTGTGAAAGCTGAAAATATTTGAAAACTGAGAGCAATGCATTGTTTGTTTGCAGCAGTTCAGTTAAATCTGGAGAAGGTTTTGTGTGTTCAGTGTGGTGCTACAGCAGAAGAAGTAGCTAAATAATGATGAAATTACATACAGTGCCCTCAGTGATGACGGAGAGGAGGCAGAAAGCAGTCTACTATAGTGATGTTGACATGTTCATTAAACAATTAAATTTGAACCATATGAAATCCGGGTTGTATCAGTTACTTACTACTGAATGGTTTTAGCTAGATCAGGTCCCTTTTGGGGAAAGAGTTCTATTTCAAATCTGTAAAGTGGAAGTATGGCAATAGTAACGTAAAAAAATAAAAAAGTTTCTAAAGACAACAGTGAGGTGGTCAGGTGATGGCTGGAGACCTGGGGCAGCTTTTGCTAGGGCCAGAGGTGAGGCTGAGAGGGGTGTGCCGTTGTAGCCTGAGAAACGGCAAGCTGGTAGGGGCCAAGGAACCCTCCAGAGCTTCTCAGGCCCTTGGTGGCTGGAGCTGTTGCCAGACACCTCCCCTTCTGCAGCTGGCAGTGTGTATGTACCTCGTAGTCCTCAGTCATGGGAAGTGCTCAACAGTGTGTAGAACTGGGCTGCTCAGCTACCTTGGGCTTAGATGGGGGGTCTTTATTGTTGTTCTAGGATTATTGTTGCTAATGGCTCTTAAAGTGTGAATGTGGTACTATCAGACTTCAGGGTTGTTGAGTCAAGAAAACCTGCCTGGTAAAGTTCAGGTCTTTAAATGTCTCAGGCTTCTTTGGTTATAAGTTGTCACCCAAAAGTAACTATTAATTCCTTATCTTCATGGTAGGATCTGTAGAACATGTATGCTTTTAAAGAATTCCTTAAATTATAATGAAAACAATTGTGGGTGCTTGCAGTTTCTAAACTAATTTTCAAAGAACAAAATAATTAGTATTCGATTGCAAATTCTTGTGCTTCATGCAGCAATGTTAAGTGCCACATCCATGTTCTGCTACTTTAATTTTTATTGGTGTTTTAAAGTATGGAAATATTTTATGATTTCTGTTTTTTAAAGCTGAATTTCTTTTTTTTTTCCTTAGAGCATGTATATCTTTAGGATCCAAGACCCGGGCCATTGGGAATGCAGCAAAGAGCCAGGTAAATGGATCAAAAACTCTGGTATTATTTACCTCACTTGTCTCCTCTTGAACTGTGGGAAGAAAATTAACTGAAGAAAAATACCAAATTTATTAAAATAAGTCTTTTAGAGTAAATGTACCTTTCACAGTGCTAGTTACTGCTTCAAGAGTATTTCCATGTATTAAAAGACACAGTATTTCTGCAGTGCTTTGTCAGAGTAAAAAATTGGAAGAAACAGAAAACCTTGTTTCTTCCCCACTGGAAGATTTTTATTTTTTTTTTCTTGCTTACTCCTGATGGGAAGAATAGGGTTCATAATTAAATTGCATTGGGGATGGGGAAGAATACTGTATTTAGTTTTAGAAAGTTTAAACTCAAGTTGAACAATATAGGTTTGGTACAGATACTGATTGTTGCTTATCATGTGAAACAAATGCACTGTCTCACTCTGGAACTCACTTGCAGACTAGGAAAACCTTCCTTTGGAAAGCAAATACATAAAAATTCATGATAGCTAGTGTGACTCTACAAATTCAAAATAGATCAGGTCTTACCCTCATTGTGTGCATCCATGCATCATGTTAGCACACTGAGGACTTCCTTGCCCTTTGAGTGTCAGTAACTGGCAATTTGCCTGGCGGGTATGAAGATCATAGAGCTCATTGGTAGTACCATGAGCAGTCGCTGTACACAGAGGCTTTGTATCCCTTTCATTCTGAGAAAACTTAAACTTTTTATCTGAGTTCAACCCCAGACTTCTCTGGCAAGAAGGTGTCCTGTCAGTACTCTTCCCAGCTGTGAATTTTACTATTTAGACTAGTAAACTAGACTAGTTAGTCTCGGAGAAGATTACTTTGGAGTAATTTCTTTTGATAGCTTAAATATTGTGTTTGACAGGATTTGTTTGTTCTGGTCCTTTCTCTAATTAAAAAGTCTGTAAGTCTGTCCTTAAAGTGTTTAGGTTGAAACACTGATAAGCAAACAGGAGTGGGGAGGCTTTGTGTCCAGATGAGATCTGAGTTAGAGGAGAACTTTAAAGGCAGTGAAATGCGTTAATTTGTTGAAGCTTCATTTAAGGTGAATGTAGGTAAAAACTTCATTTTTTCTGCAGACAGCCATTGCAGCAATATGTAATGTCATCTCAAACATTGCATACTGTATCAGAAAGCTCTTGTAAAATAAAAAGTACAGTGATAATTGATGGCAGCAAGCTAATGGATATTAAAGAGGAAAGTAAATTTGAATTTTTTAAATGGAGACCATAGATGAAAAAAATAGATGCTTCCTTCTCTCCCCTTACCCTTTGCTTTCCAGCAAACGTGTGGGGCTTGACATGAGTCTTCAGTATGTGTGTTAAGCCCAACATAACAAGAGTTCCTTTCAGGGTGGTATTCTATAGTCTGTGTATCTTTTCCACAGATTGTCACAAATGTAAAAAATACACTGCATGGTTTCAAAAAACTGCATGGAAGAGCATTTGAAGATCCTTACATACAATCTGAAAGGGCCAAGCTTCCATATGAACTTCAGAAGATGCCGAATGGCTCCGTAGGAGTAAAGGTGAGTTAGAGCTTTGTAGAGTATCTTTAATGGTAAGGATGAGCACTTTGGACCGTTGTCACTTTACTTCCTACTTGAACTGATTCATATTTTCCTTAAGAAAACTCTAAATATAGTCTTACTCATTTTGAAAAGAAATGTTGGGTGATAACCAATACAGTAACACCTTTTACCTTTCACAGACCCTGCCTTAGCATAGTTTTGCCATGTTTCACATTCCTCCTTGTAATGCATTAGTGTCTTCAAATGCTCAGGAAGATTTGGAGTACTCACTCTGTATTACATGCTCTTGTGTTCTAGTAATAGTCATGTAAAAAAAGTATTGCATTGTCTCCCATGCAGGTATACTATAAAATGTTAATAGCTCTCACCCCAAAAAAGGTGAAGTTTGTTTCATTCACCTTCAATAAAATTGAATGTGTAATAAGCCAGCTGTTGCCAAGAGATGAAGAACATTTTATTCCCTGCAGTAACATCTGCTCAAGTGCTGTACTTTCCGAGAGATGTCTGTTGAGTTTTCTTGTCAATTGTATTGGCTTTCTATAGTCGCATTAGTAGCTTTTTACCTTAACTACTACTTTCAAATACATATAATTACAGTGTGTGATTATTAGTCTTGTCTGAGTTTAGGTTTTACAGACATTCAGAGACCAAGTTTCAGGAAAACAAGATAACCCTCTGAAGATTTAATCCGAGCAAGTTATTTTTAATTTGCTTCCAAACTACATGGTTGGAAAGTGCTCTTCTCTTTTGGAAGGCTTCTTGGCTTCAGTCTCTGAATGTGTCTGTCTTAGCATTTTAATTTGGATCAGAAGTGCACTTCTGAAGCAAAATTCCCAATTGTCCTCACTTAGTGCACTTTGAGCTGCTTTCTGGCAGGGCTTTATACCACACAAAGTGAGTTTCTTTTGTTCTGTATACCTGCTCTTATCATACTAATTGCCAGTGCAAATATAGTTGCTCATCTTTCTGGGTTTCCCTGCACAGGAGTGTTTGGGTTTGCTAGAGAGGCAGCAGCCTGTCAAGAATTCAGGACATAAAACCTTATGTGAAGGCTGAAGATTCTGATGTGCTTCCTAAGAGTTGCCTCATTTGCCCCTTCCCTGCCTCAGTGTGCTTGAGTGACCTTTGCAGGAAGCAAATGTTCCTTGGGTTTGCTCCAAAACTCTTTATATTTAGCTCATATTAGAACAAATGAGCTTCTATGTGTATTACGCATTTTCTTTTTAGTTTAAAAAATTACAACAAAAATACTGTAGCATTGTGAATAGCTCCTCGAGGTAACTCAGGTGTTAAAAGTTTCACACACAACAATTTCCAGCTAAACTGAACTGTTAGGATTTGTTGTAGGGAGCACAAATCCTTGGCATCAATTGATACAGGGAGTTGTTTGTGTCTGCTCTGGTGTTAAACTTGGGTCTTAGTGCTCAAAAATTACAAAAAAAAAAATCTGATTTGTACATCATAGAGAAAAGTTGAGATGATTATTACAGTACTGCAATTCTCTTGTTTCAGGTGAGATACCTAGATGAAGAGAGACAGTTTGCAATTGAACAGATTACAGGAATGTTACTGGCCAAACTTAAAGAGACTTCAGAAAGTGCTTTGAAGAAACCAGTGGCAGACTGCGTGATTTCAGTAAGTTGTAATGAATTTATTGCAATTCTTTCTCTAGATCACTTCATGCGAACTAGTAACATTTTTGCTGTGGTGCAATGCTAAGAGATGCAAGCAGTGCATAGAAATTGCATTCCCCCAGAAATGGGCCTTTATTACAGGTTTTTCCAAATGAGAATTCTCACACATGATTACAAAAGCAGATAGAAAATTTGTTAAATCGTGTGTCTGCAGAAAGAACATACTTCTTAAGCTGATCCAGACTAGCTAACTCCAAGTGCTGCACACAGTAATCATGATTCCTGTAGTTCCTGTTATAAATGGGGACTGTCCTGTGTGTAAGCATATCTTCCTCGGTTCCAAAGAATCTTCCCAAATTCATGTTAAATTTCTTCATTGTTGCATAGTTGAACGCTGCTGGGTTGTAGTGGAGTGGAGAGTTGCCTGAATTTCATGGCTCTGAGGGTGATACCAGCAATTTGAGAGCCCAAACTACCTGCATTTGTTTGAAAAGGTCTTTTTATTTGGCTGTTTTACTTGTGTTGGGGTTTTTAGGTAGTGTCCTCACCCATGGCAGGGGCATAGGGGTAAGAGCCTGAAGATGAGGTTTTGTGTTGATATAAGTCCTAAATGTCTGCTTTTCACAGTGTCTTTGTTTACTGCTTCAATTCTGCTCTTGCTCTGAGAAGTCTGGCATGAGGTATTGCTGTTACTGAGAGAGGCACAGAAACTGGAAAGATGTATACCTGAGCTTTTAGCAACCTGCTTTGATCTTTTTCCTTGCTTCCTCATGGTATACGAAGTCACTTAGAGAGAATACCTCCCACACAAACAAGGATCCTTGGTAATGCACCCCAGTGGTAGCACTATGAATGTAGATCTAGGTCTTAAGCTTGACTGAAGCTGAAGATGTGCCAGCTGATTGCAGCCAGTTTCTAAATGGGCTCCAATTGTGCTTTGGCTATTTTTGGTGGAACTGAATATTGTAGTACACTGTGAGCTGGCACTGATAACTGTGAAATGGATACAGCTTCGGTTGTAACACGGAGTTTAGTTTAGCACTAAGTTTAGTTTCAGCACCACTGTAGTGTTTCTGCAGTAGATTATTCTGGGGCTGCGTATGAATATTTATTGTGCTACACAAATGTTTTCAGAAACCGGTAATGATTTTAAGATCAAAGATTCATCAGAAGAATCTGAGAAAGCCCCTTCAGATTTTTTTGTGCTTAAATCAAGCAGCTCTGGATGTTACTTCTTTTTTGTCATATTTTGAAATTTTAATTAAAGTATGCACTAAAAATGAATTAGCTAGCTGTTTTATTCAGACTACCTTACTAATCTGAGGTTAGTTTATAACAGTCTTGTGGTATTGAAATTTATAGGGTTACTTAATGGATAGGTCTGACTTCTTTAAATTAAAAAGTCCGTATTTAATAATATGTAATCATTTTTGGAAACAGGTACCCAGTTTTTTCACTGATGCTGAGAGAAGGTCTGTAATGGCAGCTGCACAGATTGCAGGATTAAATTGTCTGAAGTTGATGAATGAAACTACAGCAGGTAAAGGGAAGCAACTTTTTTTTTTCCTCCATTCAGACTATTGAATGTGTGAGGGTGATGACGTACTCCTGTTACACAATTAGGAGCTTGGGGAAAAACTATCCAGGCCAGTACTGCCAATCCAGCTTGGGAACTGGAAACACAGCAACTATGCTGGTGGGGTGGTGTTTGGCACTTAAGAGACATGATGAGAGTTTGGGCTTGCTACCTTGAATACAGTGCCACTTGAAAATAGCTACTCTGCTTTTGAAATAAAGCTGCTGTCTGTGCTTAATCTCTCTCATGCACCATGGAGCTCTACAGCAGCTGTATCGGGAACGCCTGAGCTAGCATCAGAATCTCTTAATGATCCGGCTGGGGTGTGTCCCTGACCCAAAATCTCAATTGTGGTATTAAATAATAGCATGCTGCAGTGTTATTAGAGGTAACCTGCATCTGTCTGAAAGATAACATTAAATACATTATTTAACATAGGTGTGTAGTGGGGTCTTCTAATTTTCTTTCCAGCTTACTGGAACATGGGTGTTCTGGAGTAAAAAGAAATCTTATGGAAGTATTAAAGAAATCGTGTTGGTTTTTTTTTTTTTGATCACAAGCTAATACTTTGAAATTAAATACACTGAAAGGAAACTTTAAAATGTGTAATGTGAAGATTTTTCACTTTTAACTACTTAATATGCTTCCTTTAAAAGCTGCTTCTACACAAACTGCATTTTTATGGAGCTTTTTTTGAAAGGAGACTTGCTGATCATATTTAGAAACAACTTGAACTGTATGATGTTTCCAAATATCCTAATCAAGTCAAGCATGTCTGTAGGATAATGACAGTTTAAACTTGGTGGCAATCCTGTCAGCCGTAGCATTGGCACAACTGTTGTTTCTATACAGTAATGTATTTACCGCCCTGCTCTGGTTTTGGCAAATTCTAGGGTAGGGTGTAGAAAACACATTACACATCATGGGAGATAAAGTTGGAGCTATTTAAACCAGTAAGATTTTTTTTTTTCCTTGATTTAAACTCTCTTTGCTTTTGGAAAGTCTCAACCAACTTTTCAAATGAGTGCTGGTATTGAAATTTCAGATTCATATAAACTAGTCTTCTAAAACATTTTTTTTATCTCTTGAACATGCTTGAATTTTGCAAAGCTGAGCTAAAAAATACTGAAAGTACGGCATGTCAAAGGAGAGGCGTAAGCATGAGATTAATCTGTGTAATTTCACAAATTACAATGTTAACTTGGTTACAAGCAGAACTGAAATAAAAGGGAATGCTTTAGTAGTGTTAAACCTTCATTGACAAATCTGCTTCCTCCCTTGTCAGTGAAAAATGCATTTTCAACATGGTAACTTCCTTTGTGATAAGCTTGATGAACATAATTCTGAAGCAAAAATAACCAATCTCATAAATCTTGGATCTAAAAATTTAAATTTATGATGGTGCATATGCTACTGACTTTTAAGTTAGTGTTTTGAAGGTACACACCATGCAGTTCTTGTTGGAAAGAGATGTTAGGTTATACAGAATACTTAGATGTCAACTATGTGAATGAACATGAAATACTTTAGTAAAACTATAAATCAGACAGTGAGAAGTTAAAGAATGTGGCAACTTGTAATGGTCTAAAACTTGTGACCTTTTTGACAGTCATGTTCAATTTGAGCAGAGTAATAGAGGTGTTTAGAAGTAGTAAACATAAGTAGTGTGTTTTGGTAGCACTTTTAATGCCTGCTTTACAGTTGTGTACAGCTTTCCCTTAACTTGTGCGGGTTGGTGTTTTTCAGTTGCACTAGCCTATGGAATATACAAGCAAGATCTGCCAGCCTTGGAAGAGAAGCCCAGAAATGTGGTCTTTGTAGATATGGGGCATTCTGCATACCAGGTTTCAATCTGTGCTTTTAACAAGGGAAAACTGAAGGTAATCTTTTCAGTCATAAAGTAAAATCCTATATTCCTGAAGTATTTAATTGAACAATACTCAAAATACTGTTTATTTAGTTTAAAAAAAATGTTTCTACTAAATTCCTGTACCAAATATTTTTGACATGCTGAATACAGAAACTTTGTTATTTTTTGGCTATTCAATAAATCCTTATAAAATGCAGAAATGACATACCCCAAAGTGTGTTTTGAAAAGTGCTAGACAAGCGTACCGTGTGGGTTTTGTGCCGTGTTGTATCACGGAAGTATTTGCATATTCTGGTAGTCTCATAAGCATTGTAGCTGTCCAACAGACCTATGTCAAGCTCTTGAACTCTATGAATTGCTCTGATTTTATTTTTTTTCTGCCATCCATGATGGTTCAAAATCTAAATTCAAGAGGATGTGAAGTAAAACTGAACAGTCGTCACTTCCTGGTCTGGAGATTTTTGTTTGTGAGCTACTGATGGCTGAATGTTATTGTAAACTTGTCTTTGGTAGCAAAATGTAGTCATCTGAAGTCATATGGATGATGATGATAGCAAGTTTTACTGTTTTGACTAAATGATACAGAACTAGTAATGACAAAAATCACTATCCTAGTCTGCCTTTTCTTGAGTGAACTATAAACAGAATAGGGGCTGCCGCATGGTGGATGTGATAGTATTTTGTTTGGGGAGGGCAGAAACTAAGTAATTCAGGAGCGATCTTTTTAAGTTGTTCTATCTGGCAACTGCATAGAAGATAGTGAGAAAACCACAAAGAATTTTCCCATATCAAACCTGTTTTTAAAGTTGTTAACTTCTACAACTAGTATCTGTATGAAAGCTCTTCCTGTAGCTAAACAAATAATGTCTAATTAACTTTTAATCTCTGTTCTTTCACTTCTGCACAGGTCTTGGCTACTACCTTTGACCCTTTTGTAGGTGGTAGGAATTTTGATGAGGCTTTGGTTGACTACTTCTCTGAAGAATTTAGGACAAAATACAAGCTGAATGTAAAAGAGAATCCCCGAGCGCTGCTACGATTGTATCAGGAATGTGAAAAACTGAAGAAGCTTATGAGTGCAAATGCTTCTGACCTTCCACTCAATATTGAGTGCTTCATGAATGACCTTGATGTCTCCAGCAAGATGAACAGGTACTGTGCATTCCATTCACTGCAGTGCAGTGAAGTGTGGTCTCTAAGCTGTCTTGTAATGTGAAACACTTTCCCTGTTCCTGCAGAGCTCAGTTTGAGCAGTTATGTGCTCCCCTTCTGTCCCGAGTGGAACCTCCTCTAAGAGCAGCCATGGATCAAGCTAGTAAGTAGGAGTGTCAATTTAGGTAGTACTTCTGCTTCAAGAAAGTAACTAGTATTCGTTATCCTAGATCTCTTTAATGATTATCTTTTTAATATATTTTTGTATTTATTAGAATTGCAAAGCTAAGTACTGAAAAGTTAAATGTAAGTTCCATTCATATGCTTGTCATGTATGCATGATCCCATTCCTGCCTCATTTAGTGCACATATCACTGCAACCTTGATTTATTGACCCTCATTCACCCTGTGTAATGGAAGAGGTTGGCGCTCTGAAAGATCATTTTATTTCAAAACACAAATCAACCAAATCAAAACCATGATGGGAAAAACTATTACTCTTTACTGCAACTATCTGGCCAGCCTGTTCCATATGTGATACATACATGTCCTCACTGACCTGAGAATTTGGCAGCATATTCTTGAAATAATTTATCTGAAGCATGTGCAAATAACAATTTTTTTTATTTTTTTTTTCCTAATGTAGCGTAAAGGAGAGAATTAGACTTTCACAGGAAAAGGTTTTAACCCTAATTCCAGCATCTTCAACTAAAAGAAAGGGAAGAATTTTGCTTATCTTATGACTTGGCTAGATAGCTAATGGGGGAAACAAGACCCTGAATAACTGCTGAGCAGAGCTGTTAAGGACTGACAGTTGTTTGAGATCACTTTATATAGATGTATCCTGAATTCAGAAGTAGAAAGTTACCCTGCAAGCACAGTCCAATATTTATTACGTATTCTTAGTTAAGGGGTTTGTTTTTCTTTATTGGCAACCAAAATTAAACCAGACATAAAATGAGGTATATTTGACTTTCATTTTGTTGTTCTTGTTTGGGTGGGGTGAGGTATTGTCCAGTAGTGCCAGGCTGCCAAAGAAAACCTGATTTCACAGCCCTGAGTTTATGCCCACCAGAAAGGGTGCATTGTAATGCGTTTTAAACAACAGCTGTCCTCATTGATGCTTGGCTTCTGCATTTTCCAGGTTTATGTAACTAGAAAACTTTGTAGCCTGCAGGAGGGATGAAGAGTTTGAATAGGACACATCATGACAAACCTGGTTTTAAAGATCTTGTTGGCTGTTGAATATATTCAGCGCTTGTCACAGTGTCTAGATACTAAAAGAACGTTTTTGGTTGTCCAAAGACAGCTTTTTGATAGCTTGATGATAACTTAAGGCCATGCACTCTCTTTTCTAGAACTTCAGCGTGAAGATATCTACAGTATAGAAATAGTAGGTGGGGCTACTAGAATTCCAGCAGTAAAGGAGCAGATCTCTAACTTTTTCTGTAAAGAGATAAGCACCACGCTAAATGCTGATGAAGCTGTTGCAAGAGGCTGTGCCTTGCAGGTATAGTTATTAAACTTCAGTATTGCTTCTTTAACATCGTGGAGTAATGAAATACAACTAACTAAACAAAAAATACTATAGCTGAAACAAGATGCAGAGTCTTAACTTGTTCTTTCAACAGATGGTGACAGTGACCATGTCAGAAATTGTTACAGTTGTTAATTTGCTGCTGTGTCATGTTAGAAGGATAATCTAGTTTGAGACCTGTTAAATTTGATGACCCAAATTGCACTGATCCACTTCTGTGTAGTCATTTGGAAGTTTTGTTGGGTAGCTTTACTGACAATCACTAAGCTTTGAAGTAGTATCTGTTACTGTTACTTTAATTTAGTTGTCTTTCAGTTTAGTTAGCTTCCTACTAAGTATAGGAAGCTACTGTTTAAAAATTCTCTGGTAAACAGAACCTCCGTGTGACCTATGTGGATTGTAGCCTTATTGCACTTAAATAGCAAGTACAATAGTTAATACCTATTTGACTACATGGATATAATAAAGTTTTGATCTTTGTTTTCTAGTGTGCAATTCTTTCCCCCGCTTTTAAAGTGCGTGAATTTTCCATCACAGATGTTGTTCCTTATTCTGTAACGTTAAGATGGAAATCATCTTACGAAGAAGGAACAGGGTAAGTTGTACAGTGCCTGCTAAAAAGTATGTGTTTGTGTATATAAAGAAAAATTTTGAGCTGTGGGAAAGACCAGGCCTCAGACTTGTCAGACACTCGAGTAGGGTTAATTTTCTTTTCTGCATTACACTGCTTGATTTCTATCTACTACTTAATAGTTGGAGATATTTTTAATTTAAAAAATGTTGGTGTGAACTTGCTTAATTTAAGAAGCGTGACACAGAATGCATAGTCCATATTTCAGACCTACAGGCCCTCAACCTGCAACTCTTGTCATAAACTGACCTAAACTAAATTATTTAGCTGCTTGGTTAGCATGGCTGCTGATCATTAACATACCTTGATTTTGATTGTCAATTATGTTATGGTCAGTGGTTTAACCTTACTTAATATTTTACTGCTTTAGGGAATGTGAAGTTTTCAGTAAGAACCATGCTGCTCCATTCTCAAAAGTAATTACTTTTCACAAGAAAGAGCCTTTTGACCTGGAAGCTTACTATACCCATCCGCATGAAGTGCCTTATCCTGATTCCAGAATAGGTAAGAACATATGAATAAAAACCACATAGCAACTCATGTTGATAATGGGAAAAGTGGTTCTCTTACTCTTTCTTTTTTTTTTAGGTATGCTATCTCCATATTTCCTGGGTTATAGAAAAGTCTAGGTTCTTTAAAAAAGCTCAGCACAGTCTTTTTGGTTTAGATGCAGTTATGAAACAGTATTCGTATCTTCTTTTTGTACTTCCTAAAAAAATTTAGTTTCTTCATTCTGTATTACCTGTTTCTGAATGCTTTAAAAAAAAAAAGTACAAGAAGCTGAGTGCTCTATTGTCTGGTTCTTTCAACTTCTGTAAAATGAATAAGGGTCTTACGTGCCCACCAGCCTGGATTTTTCAAAGAAATTGGATCAAAGAAGCTCTCAGCACTAGACAGTTATCTCTTATGTCTCTTTCTGTTAATCTGAGAACATATAAGACAGGCATTTCTGGAAATTTAGCATCTATAGTGGAGTCTAAAGTACTAGGTGGTATGAATAAGTTTCCTGGTAGCTAATACTACCTTACTTGCAGTTATAAGTAGATTCCTCAGGGTCTTTAATTCACAACTTTATGTACTTATTTACATATCTGATATAAACTTGGTGCTACCTATTTAGCCATCTATGCAATAAGTCAATTGTCTTTAAGAAAGAATATTCTCCTTTACATGCGCACAGTTTGCATTCTTTACACGCAGATTTCCAGCAAGTTGCAAAATAAAATACCAACCTTGCTGCTTCCAGAAGCTTTGATAAGCACTGTTCATTCTCCAAAATGTGTGGTGCATTCATGTTACCAAATTCAAATAGAATCTTATCTCTGTTTAATGCGTTGTTTTTCAGTGCCATGTTTGAGTTACGTGGATGAATGAAGAGTAATTTCTCTAGTGTGATAGTTAGAGAAGGCAACAGAGAAGTAGAATACCTAACAGTGTTATCTTTTTTATGACATACAAATCAAGGAGGAACATCTTATTAATTATCAGTTAAGTGATAATAGTGGGGGAACGGGTTTTAGTTTATCTAGCTGTGACTTACACTGTAGAACTGACAACTAAGTAGGAAGTTTCCACATAGTTTGTTACACAAAGTTGCTATTTAAATTGACACCTTTCCAGGAATATGTTTCTTTTTTTTCCTCTTTCACTACTTGTTGGAACAACAATTAAAAACCATTTTTGTTTTTTCAAGGGCGTTTTACTATTCAAAACGTTGGTCCCCAACATGATGGCGACAATTCCAAAGTGAAGGTTAAAGTGCGTGTCAATATTCATGGCCTTTTCAGCGTGGCTAATGCTTCTATAATAGAGAAGCAGAACATAGAGGGAGATCACAATGACACGCCTATGGACACTGAATCATCAAGTAAGAACCAAGGCAGAGATGATGAGCTGGTATGTAAACTCGTAAATATCTACACTCCTTGTAATTCTGACAAGAGAGCCAATAATTAAGATTAAATCATAGTGTATAGCTTTTCACAAGTAGTGCTTCTCCACCCTTAGATTATTTCTTCAGTTATGTAATACATTTCTTCATGTTTATTATTAAAGCACTGGTGACATGTGGCACTAAGAAAGCAAAACAATGTGAAAACATTCTAAAGAAAAACATTTTTTTTCATTGTTCTTTACCATCTCTCTGCTGGTTTTAGGATTATTGAGTGTTGCTGCCAAATCGCAGCATATTTAAAGAGATCTGTTGACTAATTCTAAAAGGTTTTTACTCAAGTACTACATTTTCATTGAGTAAAAAAAATACAGTATTTCTTTTGTGTATGGAAAGCTTGTTCTTTACAAACATTCTTTCAGAAAGGGCACTTCTTTATGTACTTCAGTACTAGTAGTTCTTACAAACTGGTTTACAAGCCCATAGGGGAAAATTACTGGAAGTAAATGTGCAACAGCTTTGTCATTAATACTGAAAAATGAACAAAATGACCTTCTGTCATTCTAGTGCAAGGAGGATCAACTTTCCTGATAGTGCACTGCATACTGAAAGTAGATCACCGAGAGAAGCGAGGGGCAGCTCTTACATTTGGCACTAGAGTTGAGGGCTGGCTGCCAGGGAGTAGCACACCAGCGGTAGCCTTGGCAGCCTTTCTTTTTCACTTGTGCCCTTCTGCAACTCGGGATTTTGGTTACGTCACAACTCGCAGGGGAGAGAGATGATAGCACAGAGAAAAAGAGGATAAAGTAGTGGGCAAGCTGCTGCCTTTCCGCGCTTGCGAAGTGCACAGCAGAGTGACTGGTCTCACAGGCTGTCAGATGTACTGAGGGGGTGTTCCTTAGGGAGTAAGGTTGGACCGAAAGCAAACACTCAGCAGCTTTATTTGAAAGAAGGGGTGAAGGCATTTCCTGTCATAATCTTTCAAAATTTGTTCTTAGCAGCTTTTCCCATTTTGGCTGAATATACTAAAGGAATTAGAGCAAGTGGTTACACAATTAGCATTATGTAATTGATAAAAGCAACTCCTTAAACATTATACCGCTTTCCAGGAATTTGAGCATATTTGAAATGCCAAACATGACACATCTCCTTGTGGACAAATGCTCTGCATCTGATGTTTGTATACAAGTGAAAAACAGTTGCAAGTGACCTAGCTGGCATTTAGTATAATAGGCGTACTGCATGTGGAGCAAGAACTCTGTGTTCCGTACAAGAGTAACCATTTCCATCCTCAGGCTTTCAACCTGTGGTAGTTCTATTCTTTCTGTTTTACAATGGTGCTTGTCAGCAGTTACCTTTCATTATTGAGGATGATACCCTCAACTCTGAGAAGGAGGCCTTGCGGTATATATATGTACTGTTTTCCTCCTCTAGCTTTTCTGTGTAGGCAAAACAACCTTCCAGTTGTTGCCTTTTCTTTGTGAACAGTAAGAACAGTAAATGAGGATTTTACTACTTTTTTCTACTCTGAAGTGACAAAACTTAAATTTGGTAAAAGCAGCCTTCTTGTTTTCAACTTTTACCGTCAAAAACTTGCTGAATTAATTAACATAGCTTAACTGCAACAAACACCTGTGCTAGAGTGTGAAATCCTTCAGTAATTTTTATCATTTTTTACAGAACTAACAGTAAATTGGTTTATATGCATATGTAGTTTGTGAATCTAGGAATTTAAATTCCTTATAATGGAAGTCTTGGATCTTTCAGACCTCAGCTACAGCTTGTTATATTGATGTTCTGGATGACCAAGTATTGGAGTCATTCTGTAAACTTTAGACTTATCCACTACTATGTTATTAAAAGTTTCTTGCAATAACAGGGAATTGAATTACTTAAACTAAATCAAGTGATCAGCACTAGTAATAAGTGAAGTCTTTAAGATCCTTAAGTTTGGAACAAGGCATAGGTGAACTACAGATAAATTTAAGTGAAATGATCTTAATTTTGGGTGGCAGTGAGGGAAGGCAGTTGGTCATGTGCTCCAAGAGGCAACTGCATAAACTGATTTTTACGGTCCTGTGAGACAGATGTAGGTAACAATTACGGTGACTAAATTACTTCTGCTTTGGATTACAAACTTTAGGTGAAAAAATGGTATGAGGTTGAAGTTCTGGCTGTTCCATAGAGAACTTATTGTATTGTCTGTGTTGGTGGTGTGTTTCTAGAACATTCTCTGCATACATTTTATATGTACTTCTTTCTAATACAAAATGAAGGGAATATTCACAAGGCTTAATATCATACTATAACGAGGACAGATGGCAACATCATAATTATTCCAAGGGGGACAGGCAGAACAGAATTTTCATTTAATTTGAGAAAGATATTAATAAAAGTACTATAACAAAATGCCTGTTTAAACATGGTGAATCAAATTCTTAAAAAAATTATTTCTAAGTCTATATATTGTTGGTGATCTACTGTAATTTACATTAGTCTTAAATCATACAGCAAACCTTTGCATTCAGTTATGTAACTCTCTTTCTAGGATAAAATGCAGGTTGATCAAGATGAAGGTATTCAGAAAAGTCAAGCTGAACAACAGAACCAAGCAGATGAGGAAACTGAAAATGCAGGAACTGAAACAAAAGTTTGTATTCAGTATTAATAAGGAAATGTCATGTTGCTTCCCTTAGCCTTGTTTTTTGCCCAGGATTCTCAAAGTTATTAATCTTAATAGTTGCAAAACACGGGACTGTATTTAGAGGAGCGCAGCTACATTGAAAAAATTAAGTTAGGAATCCTACCTTAGCACTTCGGTTTTCAACATAGTATATGAATAAGACTTTGAATTAAGTTTCTGTTACTTAACATAGTTTTATAGGGAAGATGGAATCTAGGGATACTTTGAAAACATTATGAAGAAGAATATGCAGTGCCATTAGCTTTTGAACAAGCTTGCTCAGCAGCTCTTTGCATTATGTGTAAAGAAATTAATTTCTACCAGTTTGCTTCAAAACTAAGGTACTGGTTTTTCTGAATAGCAGAGGAATAGTTAAGTGCTTCATTTACATATGATTAATTTTGTAGCTGTTTTACTAGTTTTATTTGTCTCTTTTTGAGCATAAATTTAGTAACACTTCTATTCTTGAAAGTTTCTTAATGGCATAAATCTTTTTATAGGCTGCTTCTGGTGACAAGCAAGATCATCCAGCCCAGCCAAAAGCTAAAGCAAAAGTTAAGAGTATTGACCTACCTATACAGGCAAGCCTCTATAGACAACTGGGACAGGATCTTATCAATTGCTATATAGAAAATGAGGTAAGCAGCATAAACAGATGACCACTCAATGTCACTGTAAATAATTATCCAGAAAGTATCTGCAACCATAAACTTATTATCTAATTTAGAATTCGGGGGAGGGGATTGCCCTTAATTGTAAGGGGGGTTGTTTTGGTTGGGTTTTTTAGTGAAAATTCATTTCACTAGACTTACTACCCAGCTGTCTGACCTATTAGCCTGTTAATGCGTGATGTATCAATTCCATTTTTAGGCAGGAATTGCCTAGGACTGCCAGTAAAGGATGCACAGTATGTTACAGGAATGCCAGCTGTTATTGACTGACCTGATACTGGTGTGTTGGTGCTTTACAGAAGCTGTGCCCTTAGTTATATCACATTTTTGCCCTTCAAGTCCTATCAGCAGGAAAGTGTTACAACGTGTGGAAAATTTGCCTTTCAGAGGATCCTTTCTAGGTATCTTGTCTGTGAAGATCCCAGCAGCATAAACTCTTTTTTGAAAAACGGTCATTCAGAAGAATAAAATACAAAGTAATTTTTGTAGGGCAGAATGATTCCTAGTGACTTCTAAACCAGAGTCAAGAGTTTTCTTCTAGTTCTGTCTGTTGTGGTCAGATCATGATTGAAACCTGATCCATTTACGTTGGACCACTTGCTGAACAGCTTCCAAATATGAATTCATTCTTTCCCTGTTCCAGTTCTGCCTGCAGTGAAGATGTCTTACACAGAGGTGAAAATTGTAATCAGTAATTGTGAATTAGCAGGCTTCTGCAAAGTTCTTTTGGTACAGTTTCAAGAAAGTAATCATTAAGGTTGACACTTTCATATGCTCTTAGTTTTAAATAAGATTTTCTCCACCCTAGGGGAAGATGATGATGCAAGACAAGCTTGAGAAAGAAAGAAATGATGCTAAGAATGCTGTTGAAGAATATGTGTATGACTTCAGAGACAAACTCTGTGGAGTCTTTGAGAAATTCATCACTGAAGAAGTAAGTCTTGGCTGTGTGTTTCAACTGTGTGAAAAAATTCCTTTGCATTTATAAGCTTGGAGTGTGGGTTATGTGGAGGCCACGGGGGTCTCTTGGACTGGTTTCTGGATTAACTTCACAGAAGTGAAGTTCAAACTACACTTATCCCAGGCATTTGATATGCAAGCTTGCAGAGTTTCGTATCGAAGTTTCTCAGTGGCAAGAAAAAAATTCTGGATGCAGGCAGAAAACAAAAATCCTAGCGGGGGTAGGAAAGTAGGACAAATCACTGTGAGCTCCTAAATGGTGTGAGTGGGTAGGAATGAAATGAAAATTAGCAGAAATGGAGTGTCTGTGTAGCTCTGTTTTATTGTCTTAATTTCATTTCTTTAGAAACACAATTGTTTCTCCACTTCAAAATATTTTGACCTCAGCATGCTGTTGAAGTCTAAGTAAAAGGTGTTGAAGAAAGCTGTACAATGGGCTTTTGCAAAAGCAGTATTGAAAGAACCCTTGGCATGTAATCATTTCTCTGTAACAGCGATCTAAATAGAAGTGGCTGGTACAAAAGCAACCAGTTGTTGAAAGAACAAACATCCAGCAGCAGTTTTAAGGTCTGCTTCCTGGATTACCTGGTCATCAACCCAGCCACACAGTACAGATGCTCCTCCGGTATAAACTCAAGGGTATGAGGCTGCCTTTCCCATACCAATGTCAAAACAATCTCTTACATTTGTTATATGGATAGATAAGATGTTTATTTCTAAATAGTTAAGTATTAAAATCTTTGTGTCTAGCCAGTAGAGTCCAGCTGAAAACAATTTTAACTTCAACTGTATATATAGTTTTCCAGACTTGTGTTTTCTTCCATCTTTGTGAGAACCTGAGAAGCAGAACTTCCCATGTGAAGATAAGCAAGAATGTTAAGAGATGTGTGTGCCTTCTTACAAAATGAATCCTGAAGCTATGTAACTCCCATAAACTTCACCTGTGAATCAGATTCATAGGGCTGTCCTGCCTCTTACCATTCTGTAAAACCATGGCTTTGAAGTCTGTTAATTACTGTTTTCCTTCACTATCACCTTGAATATTTTAAACTGATGAAACACACTTACTTTTTTGAATAGGGAGCTTTCTTTGCGTGCTGGGGGGGAGAAGTCTCGTTTGTCATGTTCCCCTCTGAACTAGAGTGTCCCTGACTTGCTTCACAGGATTCAAACAAGCTGACCTTGATGTTAGAGGACACAGAAAACTGGCTATATGAAGATGGAGAGGACCAGCCGAAACAAGTATACATGGATAAGCTTCAGGAATTAAGAGTAAGGTTTTAAGCCACTTTGTAGAAGAAATCATGTGTTGTTTGGGGGCTGGGGGCATTTATATCACAGAACCATCTAGGTTGGAAAGGACCTCGAAGATCATCCAGTCCAACTATTAACATAACACCAACAGTTCCCAACTACACCAGATCCCTCAGTGCTATGCTGACCCGACTCTTAAACACCTCCGGGGATTGGGACTCCACCACCTCCCTGGGCAGCCCATTCCAACGCCCAACAACCCCTTCTGGAAAGAAATGATTCCTAATAGCCAGTCTAAACCTTCCCTGATTCAGCTTGAGGCCATTCCCTCTTGTCCTATCGCTTGTTATAGTATAGGTACATATGGCTACGTAAGCAAAGCTCTTTTAATGAGGAATGTCTGTGTGCATACTGCTATGTAAATTTTGTAAATCCATATGGACACTGAGGTTGTATCTGGATGTAGTTTAGTAATGAAATGAACATAACAGAACTAGAAAGACAGTTTGTTTTAATGTTAGTTGTCCTAATTTGAAAACAGTCAAAATTAAGTAGACTGTCACTAGTGACAACAGAATTAATTGCTATGGGAATTCTGTCAGTCTTGTTACAATCTGAAAGAGGCTCTGGAGTAGTTCAACTGCTCTCCCAGGTGTTCAGAATTACACTCCAGAATAGATGCTGTGGTTTTCAGTGGTCTTCTGTAGCTGTATGATAAAACGGAATTTTTGGTCTAGTATCTAATGATAAAACCTGAAGAGTGCTTTAACAGTACCTTCCACTGTACCGTTTGATGAGTAATGATAAACCCTAGAATACTTCAGATGAACTACTTTAAACCATCCATGTAAATCCTGTGTTGTTTCTCTTCTGAACACATTGTTCCTAAGGCTCATTTTGCTGACAATAACAGCAAAATGCTAAGCCTAATAAGGACAGGCACTGTTCCTGTTTAAACTTCTGGGCTTCTTTTTTGTACTAAAGCAAAATGCAAAGCTGAAGCTCCCAAATGGGTAAGAAAAGGAGTTAAAGGCAGCCTTCCTTTCAACGCTGTGTTTTATTCTTAGACCAGACTAAAGTAAACTTGTATTTATGCTTATGTTTCCAGAAATTTGGACAGCCTATTCAGGAAAGATACATGGAACATGAAGAGAGACCAAAAGTTTTAAACGAACTGGGAAAGAAGATTCAGCTCCTTATGAAAGCAGTAGAAGCATACAAAAATAAGGTAGAAGCAAATTATTTGGGGAGTAAACTATTACGGGTATCTGAGTTTGGCTGTATATTCTTTTGTGTTTAAAAAGAAGCCTTACAGGATTACTGGTTAAGCTGCTTTAGAATGGCTGTTGTGCTTCTGCTCCTGAGAACTTCTAAAACTGTTCTGTATTGCTAGCAGAAATGATTTCTTCATGATAAACACAGTCACTTTTTTTTATGGTGGCTTGTACATTTGCAATGGGTATGTCCAGTTACGGCTGTTGCCATTGTTTCTATAACTAGACTATCAGGGGTGGGGGTGGTTAATCAAACTACAGTAAACCTCAGGTGCTTCTTTTTTTCTTGCATCTTCATTACTATCTTGTGCTTCAGCAGCATAGATTTATAATCAGAATCTCAAATGTCTAAAACCAGTGTCCTGTCTGTCTTGTTCTATAGTTATTCTTCATACTAAATGCTGGTTAAAAACTCTGTTGGGTTGTAGCAATGTTACCCTATTTTGTGTCCATTAAATTCTTAATTGAGAAGCATATACTGATTGATGATATAAATATATTTCTCTTTAGGATGAAAAATATGATCACCTAGATCCTGCTGAGATGGAAAAAGTTGAAAAATACATTAGTGAGGCTATGAATTGGTTGAACAGCAAAATGAATGCCCAGAACAAACTAAGTCTAACTCAGGATCCAGTTGTCAAAGTGGCAGAAATACTGACAAAATCTAAGGTAAAAAACCAAATTGTACATGTTACATTCTCGTGAGTTTCTCTTTAACAAGATTTTGGCCTCTGTGTTGAGGTAGAACATTATACCTGCAGATATTTTAAAGCTAGGGAAAGATCCATACAGAGGGAGAAGCAGCTTTGTTGATGTTGAATTCTGGCTCTTGATTGACAGGAGTCGGTACCTCTGAATAACCCTTTTTAAAATACCCTGAGTTACAACATCAGGCTTGCTAGAAGACGGATTATTGTACAGGCTTTTAACAGATGGGAAGCTCGTTAGCTAGTGAAAGGTTTTATTTTAAGTTTCTAGACTTCATAGAATTGAAAATTTTAGTCCTTGAAAATTAAATTTGAGGTCATGAACTTGAAACAAATTTGCGAGATTCTAGTTTAATGCAATTCCTGTGCCACCAAACAAACTTGCTCTCTCACTTCTGTTACAACTAGGAGCTGGATAGCTTCTGTAATCCCATTATATACAAGCCCAAACCGAAGATAGAACCTCCCAATGATGGGCAGTCAAAGGCTAATGGTGAACACAATGGACCAGTGAACGGACAGAGCGGTACCGAAACAAAACCTGAACCAGCGAAGGACAATTCTCAGCAGACCAAACCACCTGGAGAAATGGAAGTGGACTAAATCTTGCATTTCTTTTACTTAATTAAAATAGTGCAAGTAACCACAGGGTCCATTCTTTTTGCCTGGTACACACCTCAAATGTTCAGTTATTCTTAGCCAACCTTCTGTCATTTGTTGCTGAGTAGTTTTGAAAGTGTTTTATATTAAGTACACCTCTGATGTTCATTTCCACTGATGCTGCTTATGTGGAGCTTTAGCCAAATGTAGATTGTATAAGTCAGTTTAAGCTTTCCCAATATATTTTATATCAAACATACAGAATTGATATATAAATGGCAACAATCTACCTTATTTAAAGCTTTTATTGTGGATAAACCTCAGCTCCTTTATTCAGGAAAGGATACTGTATTGCACTACTGATGCTCAAGTGTAGATCTAATTGCATCTTTATTTTGGAAAAATATTGGAATTGAAGTGGCAAAACTTGTCACTTGAAGCACTGACCTTTTCTAGTTACTGTATTGTTATAATTTAAATATTAAAATAGAGGTTAGTTGGCATACTAGTCCATCTTGTTGATGTACCATGAGAATTGTATGGTCTTTTTCATATAAACTGAATAATACAAGCTTAAACATTTTTTAGTTTCCCATACCACTAACAATCTTAGTTACAAAGTGCATAATGGCTCTGCCATGTGCTGAAATGAAGCAAATGGTCTCAGTGCACATCGCAGTACATAACGTGCTGTCCTTGCGACAGGATGATGCTAATGAGAATAGTTTGAAGGGGTAGAACATACAAGAACTGTTGCATAGCTTTCCCTTGAAAATGTCTTATCACACATGTTACTATTTCCACTTCTTCTGTTTTGTGTGAAATCTGCATCTTGATCACATCTTGTGCTGGGGAGGAGAAGTAACAGAAATTGCACTGTGTGAGCTGGATATTAGTGCCCTGATTTTGAGGTTGCTTAAATGCTGTTTGTTGCAAACTTGAAAGAAATTATGAGAGCTTCGTTGTGGATTACAATTTCAGCCTTGGTACTCAGCATGTAAACCTTTTGTTCAAGGGTCTAAACAAAAGAGCTTAAAAACTGGATATTCTTACCCCAAAGATGGAATCTACTTGATGAACTTGCATAGCTAGCTTACCAGTTATCTTAAGTCGTTTACTTGATCTAATGAAAGCATCTATAATGTATTACACAGTTGAGTCACTGTTTTCTTTGATACATCTTAGATGTTGTCAAGGTCCTATGTATGTACTTATGTTCTGAAAACTTCTGTCAGTCACCGAAGTACTGTAGCACTTGCTAGAGCAAGTCACTTTTCTTTAGATTTTAAACAACTCTTGTATTACCAGAATAGGAATGGGCTACTCTGACTATGAATAGTGGGTTTTTTAGTTGCTGTGTAACGCTTCAGTGACATGAACTCCATTGCAGAAATGCATTAGGTGTTCAGGTGTTAACTGGGCATTCCTGCAGCAGCTCTCATGTACAAGCTTGTTGCTGTTGTAAACAAGTGAAGAGTCCTGCTCTTGTTTCTGGCTTTGGCAGCCATTTTATCTCCAGCCATGCCCTTCATGTTCCACCACTCTTCATGCTACAATGAGAGTAGTCCATGGCCCAAAGCTAGAGTTGGTAGAAGTGAACTATCCTCTGATACCTTTGCAGAAAAATGAAGCATCATTTACAGCTGTATCTAAACCTGTTAAACTAGCTGAAGTGCTAGAATTGTATTTTCATGACTGACGTCAGGTGACTGAGGTGCGTGTACTTTGCTCTACTGTTTCTCTTCTACAGAATCAGTTGTGGCTGGTCTGGCACCTTGAGTTTACATATTTAAAGCCCGTGAACGTAAACTGAGTGACCTTTGAAGAGAGCTGCAGCTACTCTGCAACCTCAGTCTTGAATTCAGCCGCTGTAGTCACACATCTCTGGCACTGGGGCGGTGACACTACTTCAGTGTCAGTCGTCCTAAGTTTAAGTCAGTACATGACTGAGCTAGCTTTGGTCCCGTAGGCTTGAACATCATGAATATCTTAATGGCTTTACCACAGCAGTGTAATGAGTAGCATTCTTAAATATTGGCTTCCTAAATCCCATCTACTCATTAATTTGTCTAGTGGACTTCCAGATACCTGACAGAAGAGCTCAGTAGAAATCTCCAGTGTAAGTCCTCCAGTAGCTAAAAGGTCCTGTGTAAGAACAGAAAGTCTTCTGCTCATGGTCATCACACGCTTAATACTACATTACAAATGTTTGAGGCAATTCTTATGCATAAAGGCTGGAATAATTCTACAGCAAGCTTAAAAGCAGATATGGTTAAGATAAGCAATTGTGTAGCAAGGTTTTTTTACTAGAATAGTGGGGTTTTTTGCTGTGCATCTGCTCTGTCTCTAGATCCCTAGTGAAGAGGAATGCTGCCCACAGACTGCTGATAGCACCTGCTTGTTGATTTACATGTTAAGAATCCCATTTGGAAGGGCAAAATTGTTCTTTCCACAGGGAGCTTCACATTAACATGTGAGCCTATGACTTGTTTGCATGTAATCTGTTTTCTGTTACAAAGACAAAATCTTACCAGGATGCAGATTTAAGATTTTCAAGTATTTATACATGGTATGCACCACTTGAGGATTTGTGTGTTGGACTCAAGTGAGTTACCCTGTGGCTACCCTGACAGTACCCGAGTGAGTATCCTGCAACAGAAAACAGGTTTTGTTAAGGAACCAACAGTAGTAAGCTGCTCTGCATCTTGTATATTTTAAAAGCAGGTATTTGTTGCTGATGTCTTATTTGAGACTTTCTATTGAGGGCAAGTTACATTTCTCATGTTTGAAAATGTTCCCTCTGTCCCACAAAAAGAGGAAGCAACACGATGTTTGTAAAGGCAGTAGAGTTTTGTTTGTTTAAAAAATAAAAAAGTTCTGTTAATCAGTTTACAACTTCATGTAAAAGTTTTAAAACATAATACATATTTTATTTTACCAGTAACATCTTTCTGCTTTCCTTTAAAGGGGACTTACTCTTTACTGTCTTGAGCATTATGTGATTTGCTCAAGAAATGGCTTTAAAATTAATTTGCTTTACTAAACTTAAGTTGCTGCTGTCTTAAAACTGATCCATGGCTTCCTTCCCACAATTTTTTATTACAGAACTTTAAATGTCAGGATTTTTTGGGAACTTTTCAGATGTGACTAAACAGATTTCTAACAAACCCTTGAAGTTAAACTTTTTTACTCATCTTTCTTTAAACTGACAAGGGTGCTACATGATAAAATGACCCAGCACAGCTGCCTGCCTTGTTTGGTCTGAATTGGAATGAAGAATCCTCTCCCTTGTTTGCCCCTGGCCGTGTCCTCCTTTCACTGCTTAAAACTGCCTTTGGGGCATGCTTGCAAAATGTACAGGAAGCACTTGGGTGCCCAGTGCTGGAACCTTGCAGGCGGTTTGGGTGAAGCACCTCCCCTGTGCTGCTGCTCGGCTTCAGGAGACGAGGTGGTGGAATAAGGGGGAAGGAAAGTGCCCTTGTCTCTCGGTTGGGGTGGCAGCTCGAGGGGCCCTGGAGGTAGTGGGGCGCTCCTGATGGACGCAGCCTTCTGTGTGCCATGTGGGCACCCCTGCTGTGGCCTGCAGTGTGCAGGCTTCCGTTCTGCCACTTAAGTGAAAGCTCTTAATCTAAAGCATCCAATCTGGCTGTTGGTAACATTTCTTTGTATCTTCAGCCTTTGAAATAAATTTTTTTTTTTTTAAAGACCTCAGTGTGCAGAACTCCAGCCTCTGCTACAGATTCTTACTGTTCTCAAATACTCACTATAAGTGATTTTTTTTTCTCCTGTAAGGATTATGTTTAACTGTAATTTCAGGAAACAGGGAAGGAGCTAGCAGGAGACTTTTTGTTCCCAAGTATTTTTTTGACAATAATGAGAGAACTTGACAGCCTTAACAAACCTTGGAATCTTTTCACAATGCTCTGGTTATCCATGCCTTTCAGCTAACCAACTTTAGCTGAAAACTAAATCAAAAACATGAACTCCTTTTACAAATATGCTGCATTTGCTGGTTCAAAGCACCTAGCCAGCTGCTGCAGGAAAAGAAGCTAAATTCAATTCCCATAGATGAGTGTCATCAAGAACCTCATTCCTCAAAACAGGGCTTTCATTTTTGTGCTACCACACTGTAATACTTTACTCGTCTCTGAGCCTTTCTCAAGCCCAGATGCCCAGACTTCAGTTGTGGGTCAGTATAGTGTCCACATACTCTGAGGATGCTTACATGAGCTACCACTGACAGTTTTCTTTAACTGGATGGAAGAATATTATGTTGCCTCGTACACTTTGTGATGCTAAATTTTCTAGCCTTTCAGGCACCAGAAGACAGAAGCTCTGTCAAATGAGGTAGTAAAAAACATGTTGCTTAACAAAAGGCAGTTAATGCCTCATAAATTTTCATTTCAACTCCCAGGATAACATTTGGAGTATACACTCTCTAAGTGTGTGGTGGCTGACTTAGCTGAATTCTTAATTCCACACAGATGAAATTTGAAGACTCCAATGTCTTATTACACATGTAAATAACAGTGAAAACAACTCAAGATGACTATTAGCACTGCAGAGTATTAAACCAGGAATGCACTCGTGACTTATCTGATACAGATATTAAACCCTGTTTCCCATCTTCCTGGTCAGAAGGTAATAATACATCAAGCAATGAAAAGCAGGAATCACTGTAATGGGATCTATGAAGAATCATTTTATACAAAAATGCAATTAAGAGCTATACTCACTGGCCACCTCTACGATGTGCTGAAATAGTTTAATAAATAAAAAAGGTGGTAGTCCCTGAATGTTGCATAGTTGGAAAAGTTCGTTTACATAGTCCAAACATATCTCCACAGGATGGGGGGGGAGGGCAGAGAGGGGAGTGTTAGAATTTAAAGCAGTGTTTTAAGTATGCAAAATGTTTACTATGTATGTAAATGGGATTCTTATTAGTGACAGATCATGTGCAAATTGACAATACTTCAATTTATTTTTGAATGGCAATATAGATTGTCAAGGTTGTGTATAATTATAATAAATATATAAACTGCTACTTGAACCATAAATGACCACCCAAGACCTCATTTTTACATCAGTGTTCTGAAAAGTTTTGTCTCACCTCATGGATTGATACAGCCCACGGATAAGAAATGGTCATTTTATTGCCTGTCCTGCGGGCTTAGTCAGGTGTGGTTTCTCTCAAGCTTCTCTGCCCCAGTCAGCTGCCGCCTCTCTTGTCCTCCCAAACTCCACCAGAGGAATTAACCTCTGGACCCTGGGACTCTTTGCTCCGCCCTCTGCAGCCCAAACACAATAGTGCTTTGCCTCTGGGGAACACAGCTGCAATCACATCACATGCCTTTGGGTGAGCGCAAGCTGCCAAATTTCAAGTAATTCTTCTCTCACGAATTATTTACTCCAACATACAAACCAGTTCAAAGTAGTTTTCCAGTGTCTTGTACCGTTTAGGGCAGTTGAGGGCTTTGGACATTGTTGGTTCTCTGAGAAGATCCTGCAGTGCAGCAGCTGGTGGGCTTCCTCCAGGGGCTCTGTCCTGTCTCAGCAGTGCAGTGGGAGTCCCTCCATCCTCCACCAGGATGCAATGATTAGAATATCTGTGTAACCTATGTAAATGTATCAAAACACAACATGACTCAACCTGTTTATAACCATCGTCCTCAATACGCTCTAAAAGCTTCACAAAGTCTGAGCTTCTTCCAGGCTCTGCATACCTGCATCTCAATAAATAAAGTCTGATAAAATACTTCAACAATATCATTCATTTTACAGGCAAGGTTTGGGATTTAGGGGTGGGGAAAGATCCTTCCTAGGGGGAAAAAAAAATAATATATATATATATATATATATATATATATATATACACACACATGTATGTCTGTATATACATACATATGTGCATATATAAAAATATACAATCTGAAAATCAACTCCATGTACTTAACAACAGTATAGGGGAAAATACTGCCCTTAACCTACTTTGCTTCTGAGCATCTCAGACTACTAAAATCAGCAACTTTACACTCCAGTATTTACCAGCTATGTAAGGATGCACTCCATCAAGAAAAGTATTCCACCATTACACTGCAAAAGAGGAAAATCAACTATATTCTAGCAAAATTAGGTGAATGCAAAGATTAATGCAGACAGCAGAAACGCCTGAGGAATTCAAGACGTAGCCATGATGTCATGCTAAGGGTATTTGCATCAAAATACTGAAATACATTGTGAGGACCTAGAGTTCAAATTTTGTCTGAAAAACGTTTTTTTCTGGCATTGCAATATCCTAACGCTATCTCAAGGGGCTGATTCGATGCAGTTTCAGGGAGAAAAGAGCTGTTTACAGAATAAAAACAATTTATTTCCAGAGATTGTGTTTGTCATAGAGCTTCTGAAACAAGAGTGTCCCAGTGATTGTTACCATGACTGCAAGTAAATATTATCCTTTACCTTCTCAGATTAATTCTGTTTTACCTTCTTCATTCTCCCTACAAATAATCGTGTGCTCTTCCTTTTAATGATTGTTAATTGGATTTTCAATAGTACTGGAGCACTTTGAATCACAAAGAAGAAAATGGCACTTTCTATAGCAAATACAACATTTAAAACTACTAGTCATGAGTATTTTACTTGAAAATTTCTCAAGAAAATACCCTCATCTTCAAATATTCAAGGAGACATAGCTGGTGGGAGATGAGTCAGCAGAGAAAAATAACTCCTGTTGGACACAATTAAAAGCTCCCCAAACCACCACAAAACAGATGTGAGAGTTCTGAAGATCCTGATTTCTCTCTCATATGTATTTTTTGCTGCAGCACCAGACTTGGATAACGCTTCAGTAGAAAAATATTCTCCTCTGAGACATCCTGAATGGCAAAGACACCCGGCCTGCCTTACTGCATGCCCCTGACACTGCCTTTCATGTTTCTCCATTGCTTCTGATGGTACTAGTGGCCAACAAGAGCACCTGGAATGACAACACCAGTGGTTTTGTCTCCCAAGGCTACTCTTTTACAAGCATCTTTTCAATCCAGCTGGGAAATAGGAAAAACACACACAACCTGAACAAAAGGATTTTTAAAAGTACTAAATTATCAAAGCGGGTTCCTGAATAACTTTACCACTCTGCGTCCTGACTACTCCCGCATCTTGCCTGAGCACTAAGCGAACTACAGTTTCTTTGCCCTACTTTATGTGCTACAATGATAACATTAAAACCAGAAGTTTAAAGAAGAGGATTTTAAGTAATAAACCACACCAGCCTGACAATTTTCAGGACAATAGTCTAACCCCTCAGCAGTTTCATGTCTCTTCAGAGGAGCGGATTATGAGCAATTAAGCAGCCACAGAAAAACCAAAAATCCCTCAGCTATCAGAGGACTCAGATTTTACACGATTAGGCCTGTAAATATTCTGGTGCTTCCCACAGCATGGGTATCAGCAGCAGGCCACCCAGGAACAAACACTGCAGTGGAAGTTGATCCACAAGGGCCAGCAGTTCCCAAAGTCTGGCCTGTGCAAACATTTGCCCCTATGCCCCAGAGCCTCACACACTGAGGAGGACAAAGTAGGGCTATGAGCTTTCTCCAAAAAACACCCGTGAAAATAAGAAAGTCGGGGGCACTGGTCACAGTTTTTTATTAACAGAAGCATTTTAGGCTTCTGAGTCAGCTGCTGTTCTGTCTAGAATATAAACACGAGTTTCTAAAGAAGGTGGTGGCAGGGATTTTTGTTTGCTTGTTTTCTTTTAACTTGCCTTGAACTTTCACCTTGAATTTAATCTTGAAATAAATCCTAGACTTGCAGAGGGATATCCAGTTGCGGTTGCTCTTCCCTCCCTACTCTCCTTACTTCCATACCCTCCCAAACCACAACAGGTTCTGCAGGAACCTCTAGTTAACCTTCTCCTTCTAAACGGGAGGGCCACTACAGGAGAATTCGGTGTTCAGTGCTGAGCTGAAGAGCTGAATGAAACAGATCCCCTTTGCTTACCTACAGCTTCAGCCACCTGTGGTGTTCTACTTCAGATGCTGCAAAGTAGGAAAGAACTGGCATTGTCCACAACACTATGTGCAATGACCCTCATTAAAAGTGGTAGCCCACAGTTTTAGAAAAAACGTTAAAACTTACCAAAAATGAACAAGAGTCCCTCAACTGGGCCATTTTCCAGATGAACTGCATAACAATGTAAAGTTTCGTAGTGGCTGTAAAGGTGCATGGTCTAACAGTCCTGCAAATGCAGAGAACACCCTGGAATGGTAACATCCGTATGTCAGGATGTTCATCTGTTGCACACACTACGCCCATTTTAGAAATAACACTGGACATTTTCCAGGCATTGCACAGATGGCGGTAAATGTGCATTACTACTTTGCCTCCAAAGCAGAGTAAAAGTTAAGTGGCTCATTCCAGTCACACAACACCCATGACAAGGGCGAAACACATTGCATTTCCAGGACCACAGCTGTCCTCAACACCACGAAGGCAACACACCTGCATAAAAATCGTAGGCCAGGGCTCTGAGTTCCTTCTGTAGAGCATGGCAGCAGCCAGCACAAGAGCTACTTCTGGAAACTAAAATGACAAAGCAAAACTAGAAACATTTGTTGTGACAATACAACAGGAAGGTGTTGCCTAAGAAGTTGCCTTTCTCAACCAAAAATAACCTTTCCCATGTTACTTGCTCTTTCCACATACTTCAAATTCTTCAGGACTTTATTGCAATGTCTTCCCCATCTACCTGCACTGCATAGTCTGCAATACCAAGGCAGGTCAAAATTCCCTTATGAAGGCAATTTTAGCATAGAAAGTGGAGATTGACATGGCATCTGGGAGGAAAAGGTCATCCTATTTATGACTGCTTTTCTAGATCTGTGCTTCAAAAAGTCACGGAAGAGATAATAATCACACAAGCTCCATCTTGCAAGTTTCTATGAAGTAAGGATTAACAACCTGCTCACCAGATATTTCAGGAAAGTCAGTGGCATTAACTTTGCTGGTTTTGAGTGTTAATTTACAAGATGTAAACAACCCAGCTTATCTATTGCTTGTGTGATCTATACTCATCTAACCCAGTACATGATAAAAATAGCCTCCTGCCTGTATTAGACTAATGCTCTTGAAAAGCTGGGGCAGGTGACCACTCAAACAACATGAGGGAGTGGAAAACCAGTCTCCTGCCCTACATCTATTGAATTTCTGTTTGAAGTCTGCAGTCAGTCTTCTGTTAGAAGATCTGGGTATTCTGATACTCAGAGAACAAAATCTAAATGAAAATAAAAAAGAATCACATTCCCACCTGTAACAGTTATCCACAGGCACCAAAAAGATACCTCTACCTCAACCCAGAGTGCTCAGTAAACTGTATGAGTAGATACATCCATACAGTAGAAATAGCCAGTTTCACAGACACCTTGTGTGAACTGTGTTAACTCTGAACTGTCCGTTTTCTTTAGTATGTCCATGAACTATATTCCATTTTTGCACATTTTTTTTCTTTCTTCCCCTCTGCTAGTGATTTATTTTATAAAAGTTCTTATTTTATAAAGTTCTCTAGTTCAAACTTTGTAAAGTTCTTCAATTCAAATCCAAAATTCTCCCTGAGTGTTGCTTTTTCAAAAGTACTTCCCTGTAACATCAAGCAGTTCACAAAGACCTGATCAAACTTATCAGGCTGACATCTCTGAGCCTTAAAATTACAGTGAAGGAAGTATTCAGAGTCAAACAGAAGAAAGCGGAGTGCCCAAGAGAAAACAGTGGTTTCTCATTGCTTCCTCTCCAGCCCCCATACGCCTGCTCCCTCTCCACAAAGCACTCCAGCTCGTGTCCAAGCAACTCGCCACACCCAGCCACAGATGTAGTTATTCCTCTGCTTGCTGTAATCAGAAAATACTGTTTTCCTCTAGAGAACTGTTTCCGTAAAGAAACTCAGGTTGTGCCAGGGGAGCTTTAGATTGGATATTAGGAAAAATTTCTTTGCTGAAGGCTTATCATGCATTGGAACAGGCTGCCCAGGGAAGTGGTTGAGTCACCATCCCTGCAGGTATTTAAAAGACCTGTAGATGTGGCACCTGGGGACATGGTTTAATGGTGGACTTGGCAGTTAAGTTTTTGGTGGGACTCAGTGATTTTAAGGGTTTTTTCCAACTAAATGGTTCTATGATTCTGTGATTCTAAACCCAGGCCTGTTCTCTAAGGGAAGTAGGAGAAAAGTAATGCAACACAGATTTAGTCAGGGAGTGATGAAAACTGCTCTCCCCAATAAAGTGTACTCAATGACTACCCCTCTATAAGTGAACTGAAAACTCAGTGTACTACTCACATACTCACAGAATATAAGGTGCTCAGCCAGACGGTCCTTAAGCCCTGGTACCTTGCCTCACTGCCATTCCCTCGTACTCAAGAGAAGCTTAAGTACACCATAGCCCTGAGGTAGTCTGGGTAAAATGCAATGCCTGCTAGGGAGAGAGGACTCGTGGCACGCGGGCTAGGAGCACACCTTAGCAGGATATATCATCTTCTGAAATGACAGCAGGCAGGGCCACGCAGCACTGTGGAAAGGGTACCAGCTACATTCAATCCTCCTTAGTCCTTTCCTCTCCCCAGA